TAGAGGGTGATGAGGTCTCCCCTCAGCCTCCTCTTCTCCAGACTAAACACCCCCAGTTCCCTCAGCCGCTCCCCGTACGACCTGTGCTCCAGACCTTGCACCAGCTCCGTTGCCCTTCTCTGGACACGCTCGAGTCATTCAATGTCCTTTTTGGGTGAGGGGCCCAAAACTGAACACAGGAATCGAGGGGCGGCCTCACCAGTGCCGAGTACAGGGGTCAGATCCCTTCACTGTCCCTGCTGGCCACGCTATTGCTGACACAAGCCAGGATGCCATTGGCCTTCTTGGCCACCTGGGCACACTGCTGGCTCCTGTTCAGCTGGCTGTCAATCAGCACCCCCAGGTCCCTCTCTGACTGGCAGCTCTCCAGCCACTCCTCCCCAAGCCTGTAGCGCTGCTGGGGGTTGTTGTGGCCCAAGGGCAGCCCCCGGCATTTGGCCTTATGGAAACTCCTCCAGTTGGCCTCAGTCCATCGCTCCAGCCTGTCCAGGTCTCTCCGCAGAGCCTCCCTACCCTCGAGCAGATCAACACTCCCACCCAACTTGGGGTCATCTGCAAACTGACTGAGGGTGCACTCGATCCCCTCGTCTAGATCATCAATAAAGATGTTAAACAGGAGTGGCCCCAAAACCGAGCTCTGGGGGACAACACTCGTGACCGGCCACCAGCTGGATTTAACTCTGTTCACCACAACTCTTCGGGCCCAGCCATCCAGACAGCGCCCAGCGAAGTATGTGCTCATCCAAGCCATGAGCAGCCAGCTTTGCCAGGAGAATGCAGTCATTCAGTAAGGTCAAAGGCCTTACTGAAGTCAAGGTAAAGAACATCTACAGCCTTTTCCTCATCCAATAAGCAGGTCACCCTGTCGTAGAAGGAGGTCTGGTTTGTCAGGCAAGACCTGCCTTTCATAACCCCACGCTGACTGGGCCTGATCCCCTGGTTGTCTACTATATGACTTGTAAGGGCACTCGAGATGACCTGCTCCATGACCTTCCCTGGCACCGAGGTCAGACTGACAGGTCTATAGTTCCCTGGATCCTCCTTTCTGCCTCTCTTGTAGATGGGTGTCACATTTGCCACCCTCCAGTCCAATGGGACCTCCCCAGTCACCCATGACTTCAGGTAAATCATGGACAGCGGCTTGGCGAGCGTATCTGCCAACTCTTTCAGCGCCCTTGAGTGTGACCCATCCGGTCCCACAGACTTGTGTGCATCCAAGTGGTGCAGCAGGTCTCTGACCACCTCCTCTTCAGCTGTGCTGACCTCAGGCTCCTTCCCCTCCCCATCTCCCAGCTCCTGAGGCTGGGTGTGCAGGGAACAGCCAGTTCCACTGCTAGAGACTGAGGCAAAGTAGGCGTTGAGCACCTCAGCCTTTTCCTCATCCTTACTTACCATGTTTCCCTCTGCACCCAGTAAAGGAGGGAGATTTTCCCTAATCCTCCTTTTGTTGTTAATGAATTTATAGAAACATTTTTTATTATCTTTAACAGCTGTGGCCAGGTTGAGCTCTGGATGTGCTTTGGCTCTCCTGATGTTCTCCCTGCATAACTTCACTACATCTTTATCGTCTTCATGAGAGACCTGGCCCGTCTTCCAAAGGTCATAGATTCTCCTTTTGTTCTTGGGATCTAGCCAAAGGTCCCTGTTTAGCCAGGCTGGTCTCCTTCCCCACCTGCTTGTTTTCCAGCACACGGGAACAGCCTGCTCCTGTGCCTTTAAGACTTCTCTCCTGAAGTATGTCCAGCCTTCCTGGGCTCCCATATCCTTCAGGGCAGCCTCCCAAGGGATTTTGTCTGTCAGTCTTTTGAACAGGTCAGAGTTTTCCCCTCAGAAATCCAAGGTGGCAGTTTTACTAACCCCTCTCTTTGTTTCTCCAAGGATGGAAAACTCAACCATCTCACCATCACTGCACCCTGGACGGCCTCCAACCTTTACCTCCCCCACAAGCTCTTCCCTGTTCACAAGCAGCAGGTCCAGGAGGCACCTTCCCTGCTCGGCTCACTCACCAGCTGTGTGAGGAAGTTATCCTCCACATTCCAGGAACCTCCTGGACTGTTCCCTCTCTGCTGTGCTTGATCCCAGCAGATACCCAGGAGGTTCAAGTCCCCCACAAGAACAAGAGCAAGTGACTGCGAGATTTCTCCCAACTGTTTACAGAAAGCTTCATCAACCTCACTGCTTTGGCTGGGGGGTCTATAGCAGACTCCACAGCAAGATCCGCTTTACTGGCCCTTAACCTACTCCACACACTCTCAACCCCGTTATCACTGCACTTGATTTCTGAGCTCTCATAGCATTCTCTAACACACAGGGCCACTCCACTGCCTCTCCTTCCCTGTCTGTCCCTCCTGAAGAGCTTGTAGCCATCGATTGCAGCACTCCAGTCGTGTGAGGCATCCCACCACGTTTCTGTGATAGCTACTATGTCATAGTTCTCATGCTGCATCATGGCCTCAAGCTCCCCCTGTTTGTTGTTCATACTGCGTGCATTTTGGTGTTGATTCTTAATTGTTTCTTCTCTGGTATTTCAAGCAAATGAACAAATGAACTAAAGGGAGCTTAGGCTGCTGACCATACTGAAAGTTGCACTGAGTAACTAAAAACGGAGATCTAAAAGTCCTAGTTAAATCAGAGTAAATCCTTGCCCAATCACACTTAAATTAGTTTATTTATTGAGTAACACTGATTTATTTGAATTTGGTAATCTGGGTCAGGACTCTGAAATATTTCCATGTGTACTTCATGTTTAGCATAGTATTTAGTCTATGCATGTTTTGTTTTAGTACAATGAAAGAATCAAACTCTTCTAAGAAGGTGTAATAAACAAGTCTGACACTCTTTTATAGGAGGTCAACTCAATAAAGACATCACCATTTCTCAGTGATATGAAACCATCTGTGCTTAAAGAAACCTAATGGAACACACCCAAAATAATTTTGTTAGCTTCAAATTTATGTTGCATTGATTTTTATTACTTTAATCAAATTATTTTGAAAGATGGTTTTGTTTTAACCACAGCTACTTTTGTGTGTAAAGAAGGCCTCAAGCAAATATCATCACAGGATACATCAAGTATACCTACTAAATCTAGTAAGTTTGGGATATGCTTTTGAATGGCATGCTTCAATGCAGTCATCTTCAAATTTTAATATAGAAATTGAATTTGGGGGTAAAAGAAGTAGGAGACCAAATTAGGTATTATCCTTCCAGAGTACAAATTCTGTTTGTGTTGGTGTAATCTGAAATCACAAAAATGAAACTGCTACTCTTATTTTTGTCCTTCCCTTTTCTCCTTACCCACAAAGCTACTCCTTTCTTGAGGCATGTCATATAGGAAAACTCAGAATTTCCTATTTCTTGCAAACTTGTATTATATGAACTTCAAATAAGCACATCCAGAAAATTAAACCCAAACCACCTAGCTGCTTCAGCAGTTGTATCTGGTTGTAAACATTTGAAAAATCTGAAAATAAAAAAAAAATAAAATCCACAAACCAGAACCAACAACCAAACAAAGACCATCTAGCTGCTTTTGTGTGTGTATATGTTGACATGTCCAACAAAAAAACTCCCATACTACTGATGACTGAAATTGGTTTGACACAGAGACAGTGTGTGTGGTTTATATTCATCTTTGTAGAACATAGTTATTTAAAATCTTTATCTAACTGGCTTAACAGGTGACCAGAAATATGTTGCCTTTACAATTACTTCTGCCTTTGTTAGGACCAAAAAAGGGTTGGATTCCTACTCTGTTCTTAGATTTGTTTTAACAGCATGTGTGGTCTAGTTTGTAGTTTAGATTGGAACAGACTTCAAAAAAGCAGAAGTCCAGCAAAGTATTGTGCAATATTGCCATGTTTACTGTACTGGATGCACTTGGTAAATATTCTCAATGATACTTACTATTTCTTATATAAATAACAATCTCCAACGTTACAAGGATGCTACTCCAATTTTTAAGTAAATATTATAAATGGCATACAGAAAAGGAGACAGTGAATTAAAATATATTTAAGGCATTTTATGTATCCTCTTGAGTGGATGGACTTCATAGCAGGAACAAGGGAGCAAAGTCCCCCGCACTGTTCAGGTTCATGACCACCTGAGGAACCTGAACATACATAAGTCTATGGGACCTGACGAGATGCATCCCAGAGTCCTGGGGGTCTTGGCTGATGTAGTTGCCAAGTCCCTCTCCATGATATTGAAAAATCAGAGCAATCAGGTGAAATCCCTGGTGACTGGAAAAAGAGAAACATATCATCTATTTTTAAAAAGGGTAGAAAGGAGAACCCTAGAAATTGCCAGCCTATCAGCCTCACCTTTGTACCTGGGAAGATCATGAAACAGATCCTCCTACAAGCTATGCTAAGGCACATGGAGGACAGAGAGATGATTCTTGGCTTCACCAAGGGCAAGTCCTGACTGGCCAACCTCGTGGCCTTCTATGGTGGAGTGACTACATCAGTGGATAGGCAAAGAGCTATGGATGTCAACTATCTGGACTTCTGTAAGCCCTCTGACAGTCTGCCACAACAACCTTCTCTCTAAATTGACAGATGGACTCTTCAGTGGATGAGGAACTGGCTGGATAGTTGCATCCAGAGAGCACTGGTCAACTGCTCAATGTCCAGATGGAGATCAGTGAAAAGTGGTGTCCCTCAGGGGTCTGTACTGGGACCAGTACTGTTCCATATCTTCATCAATGACATGGACAGTGGGATCAAGTGTACCCTCAGCAAGTTTGCAGATGACACGAAGCAGAGATGACATGCCTGAGGGATGGGATACCATCCAGAGGGACTTGGACAAGCTTGAGAAGTGGGTCCACATGATCTACATGAGGTTCAACAAAGCCAAGTGCAAGGTCCTGCAACCCCTAGTATCAATACAGACTGGGAGATGAAGGGATTGAGAACAGCTCCACAGAGAAGAACTCAGGGGTACTGGTGGATGAAAAGCTGGACAGGAGCTGGCAATGTGTGCTTGCAGACCAGGAAGCTGTGTTCTGGGCTGCATCAAAAGAAGCATGGCCAGCAGGTCAAGGGGAGATGATTCTGTCCCTCTACTCCGCTCTGGTGAGGCCCCACTGGATAACTGCATCCAGCTCTGGAGTCATCAGCACAGGAACATGGACTTTATGGAATGGGTCCAGAGGAGGGCCACAAAAATGATCAGAGGGATGGAACACCTGTCCTATAGGGAAAGGCTGAGAGTTGGAGTTGTTCAGTCTAGAGAAGAGAAATCTCTGCGGAAACCTCACTGTGGCCTTTCAACACTTAAAGGGGCTTATAAAAAAGATGAGGACAGGCTTTTTAGTAGGTCTATAGCAATAGGACAAGGCATAATGGTTTTAAACTAAAAGAGGGTAGATCCAGACTAGATATAAGGAAGAAATTTTCTACAATGAGGGTGGTGAAACACTGGAACAGGTTGCCCAGAGAGGCAGTAGATGCCCCATCCCTGGAAACATTAAAGGTCAGTTTGGACAGGGCTCTGAGCAACCTGAGCTACATGAAGATGTCCCTGCTCGTTGCAGGGGAGTTGGACTAGATGACCTTTAATGTTCAATTCCAACCCAAATCATTCTATGATTCTGTGTATGCAGTTAACCATTACAGCACTGTATTTGCAGGACCCAAGTCATAAATATTCCAGAATTACTAATGATCCTGCTTCTAACTCTTCCCAACAGGCCCACTCCACATTTTCTTTATACATCTGTCCCCCTCCTGTAATAAGACAAGAATATCTGCACTTCTTTTTATTCTCTGCCCCCATAAGACCTTAGAGATTGAAGTACAGTCAGTTGCTTATGGATTGAGTCACTCCAATTCTATCCAGCATACATGTTAATTTGTTCCCAAGCTGTCTTCTGGAAGGCAACCAGGGAGCACCTCCACACATAGCATACTTGAGTCAAAACAGTTGATCCTACACAGTCTCCACACAGTCCTCCAATGCTACATCAGCATGCTTTGCTCTCCCACACATTCCCAAGTCACTCCCCACAGCATACAACACACAGTCTCAAGATCCACACTGTGAACAAATGATGTGGCAGTCTCCAGCATGCATTGAGTGAAACAAGGCTATGAAGTATCATAGGGTGTCAACAGCAGTCCCAGGCTGATTGGTCAGCAAGTGTACATGTGCAACCTGCTCCAGAAAGGATCAATCCTAGATTATATATAGGTGAATCAATTCAAAATAATTGCCCTGAAGGCCACGTGTTGAATGTCCTCAATAATGTTCACAAGACTTTACACTGGCAAAGATAACCTTAAAAATGTATAGCCAACAAAACAATGTCTAACTGATCCTACAGCATGAAGTGCGGTAGTCTCATCAGAAACAAACTTCTACCCAGTGGGGCGACTGTCAATCAATATGCTTACTTACTATCCTCCCTGTTCATCATTTTTCTTTCTGACTAAAGCAAGAAAGAGGAGGGGTGCTCACACTGGAAAGCCCTGAACATTCTAGTAGATAAATTACTATTTTGAGGAGTATTCACACCTAGTTTAGGTGGCTAATTTAGGACACTAATCTCCCAAACAGCCCTGCACAGTCAATAAAAAGATAAACTACTCCAGATGTGGAGCAAGATCCTAATTTAGATGCCTTCACTTGCCTTTACTTCTTCATTGAAACAGACATCACTTGGGAACACATTATATTCATTCCCCACTCCCACCCCTTGCCCAGTTTGTGCGGGGAATCTGGAAAATTACAAGTTTTTTCTTTTGTAACTTTAGAGTGCAGAAGTTATTATTGATGGGTCTCTGAGGGTACATCAAATCCAACAACTCAGCAGTATGCACATGTCCATATTCAGTCATCTGCACAGGCTACTGTGAGTGACACCTTACTGGGCCATTTCTACAGGATGTATACTGGTGTATGAGTAGGACTTTTACTGCCTCCCATGACCCCCATGCACCATAATGTCAAGGTTCTGAGAACTACTGACAGAGCTGGGTAAGAAGATACCTTTCACTGACAAGTGACATCCTCTACTAGTAGGGCATTCAATTCCTTCTTCAAAAAGAAGTGTGTCTCACTGTGTATCTCCATCAAGCACATACGAAGATATTACTGGATGCACAAAATGAAATTTTATCAGCTAATTAATTCACAGGACTCCTGCCAGACATTTTTAATAGCAGTTCTAAATCTCTTGAAATGTAGAAAAAACAATGTAACCCAATAAAAGACACAGAAATAATTTGAGAGGAATTAAACCCACACATATGGGTCATGTACATTTAATTACATCTGAATGTGAACTGCTAAATTTTAAGGTTAACAGTGGTGTCTCGTTTTCTTATTTTCTAAAAACTTTTGATGTAAAATAGGTCAGAGAAACAACTAAAGAAAACATGAGTGGGAAAGAAGATCCATTAGGAAAGGGTGTGAAATAAAAAGGGGGGGAAAGACATCAGGATTAAACAAAAAGGTGCCTAGGATTCTTTCCAGTAAATCCAGATCAGATACATACTGGCTTTTTCTGGCTGCCAAAATGACCTCTAGTGATGGAAGAGCACCACTCTATATTAATTTGGAGAGATGGTGTAAAGAACAAAATTAATTGCTAAGAGAGGAAAGAATGGTAAACTGAAAACATAGCCAAATGTGGGAATTCAGAAAGCTATAAGATCTTATTTTACTATCTGGTCATGGGACATATTTTTCTATATGGTACTTTGTGAAAAAGAGCAAGAGTTGTCTTCCTCATTACTTTTAGAGCTATTCTGAAAACTGAAAAGCTGAATTTGATGATACCATTTCTGTTGTTAGAAAACCTGCATCAAAGAAGAGAGGCCAGAGAGTTACTTCCCTCCCTAGGTTTAGTTCCACACTAGAAAAGATTTCCTTCCTCCAGCAGAGCACTGTGAGCCCCAAAAGTCCTTACCCAAAATGTCAGTTACAGATACAGACAGAATCCAAATGCTTATTAAATAAAGACAAACTACTATGTTTTAAACCATTTTAAGAAATTAATTTATGAACAAAGGATGTATAATCCTGAATGTAGATGATCATATTCTACATGGCTAAAAGGTGTGGAAAGTGGAGAACCCAACTATTTTGTGTTACAATTTCCGTCAGTTGTATGATACCAAAGAAAATTCCAAATTCCAAACTTCAAAGTCAACATTTCCATTACATTTACTACTGTATGAAACATGCATTTCTGCAACTGAAAGGTGTATCTGAAAAATCTCTGCCTATGACTGATGCTTCACGTCATGTCCTGCCTTTCAGACCAGCAGGCAAAACGAACACTGTCCCCAGCCAGGGAAGCCTGTAAGCACTAGTGGGACCATGCATTGTTTCTCCTCCTGCTCTGGCAGCACCACAACAGCCTCTTCCCAGTCACGCAGGGATGCAAGGCCGGCAGCGAAGGCTCCTCTACTCCCCCTCCTGGGAGCTCCGAAGTTCAGCTGCTCCCATTCCTCACAAACTAAACAGCATGCTTGCTGCTCCAGAAACGGACAGGCGAGCTGGACGGATTTTGCAGATGAAGGCAGGAGCTGGGGGGGGAAGGCACAGCTCATCTCGCAGCTGTCCACACAAGGCAGACCCACTGGGGAAGATTCCTGTTCTCCCATGCTGGGGAAGCTCAGGAGGGCCCTGTCCCACACCAAGGCATGATTCTGCCCTTCTCTCAGACTGTCTACACCTGGAACATCTTGGCATCCAGGCCCGCTCCCCTCCAGCTGCACCAACGTGGACCAGTTCTCCTAGCAATCAGGCAGTGTGGCAGCACTTTGTACAGCATCTGCAATGTTGTACAAAGTAGCCAACTTCCACCTAAATGTTATAATCTGTGAACAGCGCTGCAAAGTAATAAATGAAAGAGTCCAGTGTAGATAGCAATGTGTTATTTACTGCACTCTGCCTGAATGGCATCTGGCATTTTTAATAACACTACTAAACATTAATTAAAAGAAATGGCTCTAAGCTAGGTGGATGAAATCATAGTTTCTGAATGCAGTTTTCATGGATTTAAAAACACAAGCAAACACAATTTTTGCACCAGAAAAAGCAAAACTGTACTGAAGAAGCACAAGCAGCTTGTAAAACTGATGACAATGGAGTAAATCCCTACGAATGCTTAATACACCAATCATACTGACTCCCAGCCACACCGCACTGCCATTCCACCTTCCATGCATTTTCAGACAGACATCAGTCCACACCACATAGGATCCCAAGATTCCCGAGTTTCTGGAAAATAGATTTGGTCCTAATTTTTGTGACAGATGGAACTGATAGTCTCAGGATGAAAAAAGCGCCAGTTTTGACAGGCAGCAGATTACTAATGCCCCTTGTGGTCGGAGACGATGTTGCTTTGGAATTAAGGTAGCACTGAAACGAAAGGCAATTGGGTAAATGCACCACTACTTACGCTTCTCTCGTTGTGTCTTAATATTTTTCTGTCTACTTCCTTACAAGCAAGTCAAAGCGAACGGAGACTCTAACAGGAAGGCAGGACGTCAGCAAGGTATGAAAACACATTTCATCCTCTTAACTAACAGATTTTAGACAACTTTTTACTAGTTGGCAGACCTTAATAAAGTATCATACCGAGACCTACAGGATTTCTGTCAATAGGAAGCCTCGTAGGTCAATGTCTTAAACCCGTGCACAAAAAACTCAGGCGAGAGGCTGAGCTGAGTGAGTTTAAAATCGGCGGGAGATGCGGTAAGTGGAAAGAAAGTCGCAATACTGAAGGCATAGCAAACCAGTACTTACACGGCCGCAGTACACCACTAGTAAGAGTTAGCTTTGCTCTCTCTCCCTGAGTGCACTAATACACTGAAACCAGGAGCTGTGTTTAGATTAGCAAGAACGAAGTCGGTCCCATTTTGAGCCTGATCCTCCCTACATTTCGGGAAGCAGCTCTGCCCTCACTTGAATCAGTGAGAAGTTTGAGCACACGCATCACTCAGGCTACAGACCTTTTTTTTTTTTCTTTTTTTTTTTTTTTTCCTTGCT